GGGAGGAGAGGAGAAGAGAGGAGAGGGGAAGAGAGGGGAGGAGAGGAAAGGAGAGGAGAGAAGAAGGGAGGAGAGGTGAAGAGAAAAAGACTTACTGGGAATATGCTAGCTTTCTTCAAGTACATGAAGGATAGTCACATGGAAGAGAGATTAGATTGGTTCTACGTAGCCCAGAACATGAAACCATGGTGGAGCAGTGGGGCCAGCCTCCTACGAGTCCGAGCCATCTCCGAGTTGTCCCAGGAGGAAGGCACTTCCCCTCCCTGGGTGCCTCTTTTTCCAGCCTGGGTCACAGCAGGTGGCCTCCGAGGTCTCCATCACTGAGACTCTGTGGTCTTGTCCAAGCCATGAGACAGAAGCTCAGGGTCACACAATAAGTCTTCTCGCCTGCCCACACGCTCCTCTCCTCAGACTGTGCCTCCCTCCTGGACTTCTGAGCTCTGGGGCTTTGGCAGTATTAGACTGTATTAGTAGGGACCCATCCCAGCGACCCTATGGCCCAAGCCTGCCCAAGATGGCGGGGGGTGGAAAGAAGGCCCTAGAGAAATCCTCTGTGGGCTCCTCTCCTCGCCAGGCTTCTTACCTACGCCCTTGTGCAGGTCCAAGCTGATGAACTCAAGTGGTCCTTGGTGAGCGGCTCTTTTCTGCTCCACGTATGCCACGTGCTTACTCCCTGGGCAGTATCGGAACACAAAGCTGTAGCCGGCCAGGGTGACCTAGAAGAGACGGTATGGGTACGGAAGGCCATCCGAGGTTAAAGATCATAGAATCCTAAGAGATAAAAGGGTCCTTGAGCTCATCTCATCCACCCTCCTACCCAATCCAGGCATCCTCTCTGCACAGAATCCCAGAACAAAGATGGCCTTCAAGGGTCATCCTCTCCTGAGTACCCACCATGGGCAACAGCCCCTCGGAATAAGAGAGAATATTAGAACCAGCACGACGTGAATTCTTTTTTTTGTTTGTGTTTTTGGGTGAGGCAATCAGGGTCAAGTGACTTAACCAGGGTCACAAGGCTAGTAAGCGTCAAGTATCTGAGACTGGATTTGAATTCGGCTCCTCCTGACTCCAAGGCCAGAGTTCTATCCACTGCACCACCTAGCTGCCCCGGGATGTGGAACTGTGAGAAGAGGAGCTGGTTCATTTTTGTCTGCGTATCTCCAGCACCCAGCCAGCGCCTGGCACATTTCTCTTTGGTCTGGCCTCATGATTTCATAGCGTAGGGCACTTACATTACCGGTCCAGGCTAGCAGCACCTTCTCTCCCCTCCCCTCCCCTCGCCCCCAGCCCCCACAGAGTCACTCTAAACACGCTCAGCCTTCCAGGCAGCTGCAGGAGCTGGGGCCAACGACTGTCTACAAGCCAGGGTCTGACAGCCCAGGAGGGCGACGATCAGACCGCACAGGACCCTGAACATTTGGAGCTCTCTGCCTTGAACTGTCCCTGTGACCCTTGAGGAACATAGCGCTCGATACCCAAAGAGCATAGGGAAGGAGTCCAGACAAGATGGGCCAGAACCACACGAAGCCATGAGAATCCCACCAGAAGTGCACAGACTAAGGCCTTTACACAAAGTACCAACCTGGGAAACAAGACGGGAAGGATAAATAAACAGAAGAGATAAAGATTTACTCTGCTGCCAGGAAAGGCCAAGACACAAACCCAAGAGAGGAGAATGACTCCAAATCACCTCTAAGCAAAGCTTCAGAGCAAAGCCACAAGATCAGCTAGGAGTCCAGAAGAACGGATGCAGGAGCTAATGGTAGACATGAAATGGGGGCACAAGAGGAGGCCGCTGGAGAAGAAATGGGAGTTGTAGAAAGAGGATTAAGAACTTAGCTTAAGCCTTACCCACGGAAGACTCCTCAAAACTTAGAACGAATCAAAAAGAAGGCAATGACTCCATGAGACAGCCAGAAATGTTAAAACAAAGTGAAAAGGTTGAAAATAATAGGAGCAAATGCACGGCATCTCATATAAAATGAACTCAGATCAAGGAGAGAATTTAAGAATCACTGCACTACCTGAAAGCCATGTCCAAAACAGTGCCTGGATATCAGGTTCAAGAAATCATCAATCAATAAACATTTAGTAAGTGTCTCCTATGGGCCAGGCACCGTGCTAAGCCCTGGGGATACAGAAAGAGGAAAAAGAGAGTCCCTGCACTCAAAGGGATGACAGTCTAATAGAGAGGACAACATGCAAACAAATACACATAAAGCAAAGCACACGCAGCAAAATGAGGAAATAATTTAAAGAGGGAAAGCAGTGGACTTCAGACGGGGTAGGGAAGGCTTCCTGCAGAGGGTGAGATTTCAGCTGGGACTCAAAGGAAGCCGGGGAGGCCGGTGGTTGGAGCAGAGGCGGAGGGCCTCGTTCCTTAGAACGTAGGACGCAGGCCTCGCTTCGCGCTTCTGTGCGTTTCCTTGGTACCTCACAAAGCGTCTGGCCCATTTGTTGTTTGTGTTCAGTCATTTTTTCAGTCGTATCCGACTCTCCGAGACCCCGTTCGGGGTTTTCTTGGCAAAGATATTAGAGTGGCTCGCCTTTCCTTCTCCAGCTCATTTTACAGATGAGGAAACCGAGGCAGACAGGGTAAAGTGACTTGCCCGGGGTCACACTGCCAGTGCGTGTCTGAGTCCAGTAAGATGAGTCCTCCTGATTCCAAGCTGCCCCTCATAAACACTTAATAAATACCTTTCCATTCATCTGTTGGCAGGGCGTGGCAATATTGCTTGTTGACTGTCTAGATGCCTGAATCCGAACTGAAAAAGCTCTTGATTGACTACAACATCGAGTCTAGTACGATGAAACGGAACATGGAAGAATGTCAAGTCTGACCCTTGTGTTTGAAAACCCAGTCCCCGGTACAAGATGGCGGGAGTGTGGCCAGAACACGGTTTGTCTGAAAAAGCTCTGGGGGTCTCAGCGGACAGTAAGTGCAGGGTTAGTCAGTGTCCATGTACTGCCCGAGCCTCACCCAGGGCCCCGTGCCCAACTGGCGCTCCATAAATGCTGGGTGACGGACACAGTGACCCAAAGAGCTGATGACGAGAACCCAGCCGCCAGAACCGGGAAGCCAATGGGCCCACCGCCAGGCTGCATCTGGAACAGCGGGCACTGCCCTCCAGGAAGGGAGCGAGAGGGTCACAGGTCAGGAGAAGACACAAGCAGAGCTGGGACCCAGAGGCCATCGAGCCCGCCCACTGGTTTTCTGGAGGAGGAAACTGAGGACTAGGCAGGGAAGTGACTTGTCCAAGATCACCCAGCTACTAATTGTCAGAAGGAAGATCTGAAAGCAGGTGCCAGGGCTCCATGGCCTGGGCTCTCCCCACTGACCCAATGCAGAGCCAAGTGCCCAGGAGCGCAGGGGGATGGAGACACGCTGTGTGGGGAGCGGCTGAAGCGCCTGCGGAGGCCAGTCCGGGTGGGGACAAGAGAACTGTCTTCAAGGATTCCCAAGGCCCTCGTGCCCAGGAAGCCTGCACCCGGAGGGCAGCGAGGTTGGGGGCGCTAGGTGGCGCCGTGGCACACAGAGCACTGGGCCTGGAATCGAGAAGACCTGAGCTCAAGCCTCAGACACTAGCTGTGTGACCCTGGGCAAGTCACTATGCCCTGTCTGCCTCGGTTTCCTCATCTGTAAAGTGAGCTAGGGAAGGAAATGGCAAACCCCTCCAGGATCTCTGACAAGAAAACCCCAAATGGGGTCACGGAGAGTCGAATGCGACTGAAACGGCTGATCAACAACTCGGACGACAGAACCAGGAGCGACGGGAGAGGTGGAGGAAGGGCAGTTTTCAGCTCCGTTTGCTCAGAGCAGGGCGGGGTGACCGCCCCCTCAGGCCGAGGATTTGGGTTTGGATCCTGGTCCACAGCCTGCTGGGATCGCCTAGACCCTACCTGGCCAGGTGTGTCAGGATTCACAAAGATACTCTCTGCGGAGATGTTCCCATGAACGTACTCATTCTCATGGATGAATTCCAGCGCGTCCACCTGAGAGGAGACAAGAAGGGCCCAGATCAGCCAGCTCGGCTGATGGCTGAGCTAGCTACAGGTCCGGCTCTGAGCCAACGGAAGCCAGGAGCTCCGCCTTCTTTCTCTCCAGCTGCTGGAGTGGGGTGGCCCAGGACTCCAGAGCCATCCAGGATCTCTGTGGCCCATGGGCACAACTCTACCCGGAAGGCTGGCCGATACCGCAAACTCTATGGTCCCAGAGGAAGCCTGCTCATCTTCACCTCCTCCTGTCATTGCGTGACACCTGCCTTCCATCCCCCCACCCCCCGACGTGACAATCCTGGCTTGCTCACCTCTAGGAAGCTATCAGTTAGGGGGTCCTGCCCAGTATCCCCATTCTATCCCAAGGCCTTTACTTCCTGGGAGGGCTCATCACTCCTTCACTCCCCCAGTCCCGTTCCCACTCACCCTTTAAGTCCTACCCCAACGAATTCACAGTTGGCTATGCCCCGCCCCCAACACCTTTTTGTTTATTTCGTATATAATCATCTTTGCCCCATCCTAGAGAGGAATGGGTCTGGGAAGTAATGAGCTCCTCATCACTGAAGGTCTTCAGGTGGGGCTGGATGGTCACCTCACCTATCAGAGTCTTTGCTTGGGTAGGGCTAGATGGGATGGTCACGTCCAGCTCTGTACTTTGCAGCTGTATGGGCTGGGAAAGTCAATGAGCTGACCAACTACAGGCACCTACACTGTCAGAGAAGCCACTCCCCCTCTCAGAGCCTCAGTTTCCCCATCTGTAAAATGAAGATGCCGAACTCGGCCTCTGAGGCCGCAGCCAGCTCCAGAGCTTGTCTAGGCCACCCTGTCCCCAGCAGGAAGTTCTTTTGTACAACGCACCAGTCTGAACAAGAGATGGAGCACGGTCTTCTCTGTCAGAACGTTGTTGGGGCGGTCGTCCAGGATTGACTGAAGGCTTCTTCCCAGCTCAGGGAACACCAGGAACCTGAGGGACACAGGAGCTGATGTCCCAGGGCTGGGGCCAACCACCCTCTCGGGAACAGCAGGGAAGCGAGGGCAGCTCTCAGCCAGAAGCAGCGGTCTGCGATGGCCTCCGGCGGGCCCGTGACTGGCCACCGCGGGCGAGGGACAAAGTGACTCCTCCCGGACAGTTCCTTCAGCTTCCCCAGCAGAAACCGAGGGGTGGAATTCAGCCAGCTCTCTAAGGTTCACCCCCCCCCGACACTCCAGCGACATCAGGGCGGCTGGGATGAAGACAGGCGGACCCGCTGAGCCAGTCAGCGCAGCCCTGGGGAGCAGAAGAACGGCTCACCTGTGGGTGTCCCGGTGCAGGCCGAAGCTGATGCAAGCTGGGACGGCCAAGAAGGGCATGAAGTGCGACTTCTTCCATCTGCTCACTGCGGGAGAAGAGAAAGGGGCCCTGACTTGGGCTGCCAGTGCCGCCCTGGGCCGCCACGGGCCTGTCCTCTCTGGCCTGACCCGGGGCCCGGCTCTCTCGTGGGCTCCAGGCCGGGAGGGTGAGGCAGAAAGAGGCACGAGTCCTGAGCCGGAATCTCAGTTCTTTGACCTTGAGCAAGACACACCGACTCTATGAGCCTCGGTTTTCTCCTTCACAAAATGGGGATAAGAGAATTTCCACTTCCAGACTAGCCGAGAGGATCTGAGGGAAGACCAGACAGGAATGCATTCCCAAGCCTGGAGCGCCTCCGGCCTTGCCCTCAGAGCTGAGCCCACTTAAGGACAGTGGGAGGCAGCAGGGGCTTCCTGGGAGAAGCCGGCCATGCCGTCTGGAGAGACCACGAGGAGGGCCGGTGCAGGGAAGGGGGGGACCCTCTCTTCTCCTCCCCACAGGGGCACCTTCTTTCTCCTTCACTGCTCTCTGGAGGAAGATCTGCTCGTGGAAGAGGCGTCCACTTTTCAAGTCCTGGAGAAATTGAGAAAGAGAGAGAGAGATTGAGATGGGGGTGGATAGACAGAGAGAGATTGAGATGGGGGGGAGAGAGGGAGAGAGAGAGAGAGATTGAGATGGGAGGGAGAGAGGGAGAGAGAGAGAGTAGGGGGAGAGGGAGAGAGAGAGAGAGAGAGGAGGGAAGGAGAGAGAGAGGAGAGAGGAGGGGAGGAGAGAGGGGGAGAGAGAGAGA